CCTATTAATAAGATTCTACAATATAAATACCATAATCCACATTTGGGGCGCAGGCTTTTTGAATTCGTAACTGAAGATCAATCTTTTTCTGCTGGTTGAGCAAGGAACAGGATTCTTCAAGAGGGGAAAAGAGAAGACAGCATGTTGGATTGATTGTTGAGGGTACACATTCTCATTTAAAAGACATTGCTAGGAAAAGAAGTTGCCAGCACAGAAGCAGATAATGTCTCATTTTTAAATATCTACATTTGAAAATCAGAAATCAGTAATGCTGATTTAAATGGGACAAGCCATACTGTCTCTAATCCAGGGGTCCCCAACCTGTGGGCTGTAGCCGGCTAGTGGTGGTGCTGACAGCACCAAGGCCCCTGTCCATCAGGGCCAACAAGATCAAACCATTCCCAGATAACAGTTCAAGACCTGTTCCTGGGCATCTCCATGGACCGTCTCCACACATGGGATCCAACTGGGACTAGATCTGAGCATCCATCAGGCATGGGTCCAGATTACTTGAGAGACCATCTCACCTCATTGGGATTGGCCTGTTTCACTTGTGCCAGCAGAAGAGGCAAGCGGCAGACACTGTCAGCCCAATTATTCCAGCTGGTGGGGTCCAGGAGGAAGGCCTTCTCTATTGTTGCTCCTACCCTCTGGAACATCTTTCCCCTCCCCAATGTGAGGTTGGACCCAATCCTCCTATCCTTTTGTAAGAGCCTAAAGACCTGGTTCTGCCACTTGCCCTGGGGCCCCAGTGGGCGAATAGCACAATGGAGGTGGTTATTCGAGTAACAACAGATTTCACCTCCCTCCATATTCCTCCCCCGGTGTCCTTAGGTTTTAATGTTTGATTTTAATTATTTATGTTTTAAACGTATATGTATAGATATATATATTTATGACTGTAAGCTGCCCAGAGTTACCATATAGTAAGATGGGTGGCCAATAAATTTTATAAATAAATTTATTAAATTTATATGACAGAGATTCCATACTGTCTCTTCCCCAAACCTTCCATTTTGGTGATCAGATGCAAACTTTACTTATTTATTGCAACTTACCTTCTGCACATCGGCAAATGTTACCATGACATATCTTATTGAGAAGACCTGTTCCTTTATCTGGATGGTAGAACTTGGTACACTGTTCATCTAAAGGAAAAATTGAGAGTTATGTGCATACATCACAACAAGAAATCTATGGTGATTATAGAGATAATTATTTAGGACAGGGCTGTTCAAACTCAAGGCCCGTGGGCTGGATCCAAACCATGGGGTGCTTAGATCTGGCCCGCAGGCCCACCGTGAAAACAGTGAAGGACTGGCCTGTGGTGCCTCTGTGTGGCCCTCCCGAGCTCCATTTTTGGCTGTGACAGCCTCCTGCACCCCTCTGCCAGAAAAAACAGAGCTCGGGGAGACCGTGTACAATCCACCCAGGCTCCGTTTTTGATGGCAGAGGGCTGCAGGAGGATGTTACAGCCAAAAACGGAGCCCGTTCACTGGCAGAGGGCTGCAGGAGGCCATCATGGCTGAAAATGGAGCCTTGATGAGTGACGTCAAGTTGGCTACACCCACCCTGGCCATGACTATCTCCATCCCCCCCAGGTCAAACCTGGGTGGGGCGGCCCCCAATGAACTCGAGTTTGACACACCTGATTTAGAAGAACAAAGAGTAACCCATTTTCTCAAAATTTCAAATTTGGGGCATGTCTGACATGACAGTGCAATGGAAACTTATCAAGAATGTTGGTTGGCTGATTGAATTTTATTAAGCATTTACCTGAAAAGCACAGAGCCCTACAATGCAATAAGAAAGGTAAGAGAGGATCCGTGTATCTGCCATTCTTCATGGAAGAAGAAGGGGGGGGGGAGTTGATATAAGAAATCCTTTTTGATGTAACATGGATATATTAAATCTTATATTGAATTTGGATAACCCATGATATACTATGGAGGGACGGAAACCAGATGCCCTGAAAGACCCATCACCTCTGAAAGAGACAGCCACAGGATGAAGAGACCATAAAAATTCCTGCTGGGAGATGTCTCCTGGGAACCTCAAAAAAGATCGTTCTCAGAAGAGTGGGGGGAATAAACATGTTGGCTCTTTGTTTTACTAAATACACATCAAGAGAAGGGGAGGGGTCTTAAACTCCCTTATCTATCCCTGCATGCCTGAGGCACGTTAGATGCTGCTTTTAATCCCTACATGAATTGTCTCATCTCAATAAAGGATTCCTTTTGATACGTTTGGTTTTCAGAAGTTCATTCTTGTTGATTGAATGGGAAAAAGTTCTGTAGCCTGACAGATATCCCATTATATAATGGAGTTAGTAAGTTGGAACAGGGACATCTATAGAATTCTGCTCCTTTCGTCAAATGGTACTGCATTGCAAGCTTTGAGCATGCATGTGATGCTACAATTAACATACAAAGGGGTTTGTGGTGTGACAGCACAATGTTTACTTTTGTCATTCTAATCCCCCTTGATGCTTCCTCTACATGCCACTTTTTGACAGTATAAAATAGAATATAGATAGTCCTCAACTTATGACCGAAATTGAGCCCTGAATTCTGGTCATAAGTCATTGCTATTGTAAGTTGAATCTTCACATGACCAGACTCAATTTTATAATCATTTAATTATGGTCATTCAGTGAGTTGCTGCAGTTGTTATCTAATCACATGGTCATTAAGCAAACCATATGGTTGTAAGTCTGAATCCAGTTTATCAAAAGGGAGGGGTTTTTTTTTGTCAGAAGACTACCTGTATTCATGATTCTTACGGTCTGTTACAAAACTAACACCTTCCAGTATTAAAGTCTCCAATTATTACATGCCAATAATCGTGCAATTTCACTGAAGTTTAAAAGACCTAGCAAGAATGAGATCAAAATGGGGACAAATTGACTTTCCAAGTAAGTTAGGTATCCCTATGACACAGCAGGCAATCTTAGAGTTGCACCTATATGCAAAATCAGTGCAAATGCTTTGTGCAGCAGAATGTCTTGAGTGAGCACATCCTTTCCTGGAATTAAAGCATAATCCATTGATCTGTGTTGCCAAACAAAACTGAATTAGAACTGGGCATGGATGTTTGTCGGTTTTGGTTTTTCAACTTTGTAAAATGATTAGATACAGATTCACAGAGTTGGAAGGGACCTTGTAGGTCATCTAGTCCAACCCTCACCCACCCACCCAAGCAGGAGACCCTATACCATTTCTGACAAATGGCAGTCCAATCTCTTCTTGAAAGTCTCAAGTGATGAAGTTCCCACAACTTCCAAAGGCAAGTTGTTCCATTGATTGATTGTTCTCACTGTCAGAAAATTTCTCCTTACTTCCAGGTTAAATCTCTCCTTGTTCAGTTTCCATCCATTATTCCTTGTCTGGCCTTCAGGTGCTTTAGAAAATAGCTTGACCCCTTCCTCCCTGTGGCAGCCCCTCAAATATTGGAACATTGCTATCATGTCTCCCCTGGTCCTTCTCTTCACTAGACTAGCCAAGCCCAGTTCCTCTAACTGTTCTTCATAGGTTTTAGTTTCCAGTCCCCTAATCATCCTGCTTGCTCTTCTCTGCACTTTTTCTAAAGTCTCAACATCTTTTTTATAGTGTGGTGACCAAAACTGGATGCATTATTCTAGGTATGGTCTTACTAAGGCTTTATAGGGTGGTATTAGTACCTCCCTTGATCTTGATTGTATCCCTCTGTTAATGCAATTTAGGATTGCATTGGCTTTTTTGGCTGCTGCTGCACACTGCTGGCTCATATTTAGCTGGTTGGATTAGATATTTTTTAAACAGTTATTTAATATTTTATAAGTGTGTGTGCATTTGGGGATTCTTTTTCCAAACAAATGCCTTTTTGCAATGTTACCTACTATATAAATGGGTTTTACAGGCAATTTTCTTTGAAATAGTGCTATTTCTGTGGTTAAAGAGCTGCACTGAAAATGTTGTTCAGAAATAAAAATAACGAATTTTCAAAATATTAATTAGAATGGCAAAATGGCTCTTCCTCGGCCATGATAAGCTCAGCTTCCTAAGTCTCAGTACCACTCCCCCCCCCCCCAAGACGAGCTTCCTGTTGCCCACCAGAGCAGAGAAAAACAGGATCTTGGTGTCACTGGCTTCAAAATGAAACAACTTGCCACAGCCAATTTGCCATGGCCAACTTACTGCAGCCAACCCGCCACAGGATAACTCGCTGTGGGACAATTCAACAATTCAATTTAATTATTTAAAATAATAAAAAAAATATTTTAATTTTCATCATTCACATTTCATTTTGTCCCCCTTTTTTAATGATTCTATTCCACCATTTCTTTGATATTAGTGTAACTCTTGCTCCATGGCAAGTTATGACATGATGAGTTGGCGGGGGCGAATTGGCTGTGGCGGGTTGGCCACATGAGTTGTCCATGGCAAGGTGGCCATAGCGAGTTGGCTGCAATGAGTTGTCCTAGACCCCCACTAGCTTTGTTTTCTGCTCTTCAGGAGGCAAGCAAAGGAAACTCACACCAGAAGGCTACCAAAATACTGGACAGAGCTCTGTGTTAATAACTTTCAGCGTTCTCAAGTGATTCATTCTTCACTTCAGCCTTTATAAAATGAGTATAAAGAGACTTTTGGAAAGTCAAGAATATTTTATAAAGTATCAATTATTATTGAGTATTTTTGCCTAATTTTGCCAACCTCCAGTATGTTGAGTTCCTTGGAAAGAGCTAATTTGGTCTAATGGTTAATACATCAGGCTGGAAAGAAGGAAACTGATTTTCCGCCATAAAAGCCAGCTGGGTGACCTTGGGCAAGTTGTTCTCTCTCAACCTGATTCACTTCGCAGAGTGGTTTGTTGTGGGGAAATTAGGAGGAGGGATTCAAGTGTATTCAATAAGTCTTCCATTACCCAGATTGTAGTAGCTGTACACCTTGACTGATCCTGGCTGAATGAAGCCAACTTCAAAATGCTTGTGAATCTTAAAATGCAGGCATTCAACTTCAGAGTGGGAGACCTGGGATGGAGAGAGAAGATAATTTCATGAGTGCTAGTCTGCCCATGGGGGTAATAAGGATTATTTTTACATAAATTACATCTGTATAACCAGACATGCAGTGGCGCAGCTGGATAAGGATGCTGGATCTGCTGACCAGAAATGGTCGACACACCATCAATTCAAGGCCTGGCAATATTGTGAGACAGGCTGAGTTCCCATCACCATGCCATACAAAGTAAATAAAATAATTATGAAATAAAATAAAATCTGTATAGCTTCAAAGAAATTACTTATTCCAAGTTAGGTGCTCAAATTTGACCCACTGATTGAAGGACCAAGTTCTGTAAGTCTGTCCACATTGCGCAGAATAAAGGTTAACAATAGAAGTGTTTCATATATGGAGAGGAGCAGCAGGTTGAAATGGTGTCACAGAAAATACTGGTCAAAGGTTAGAGTACTAAAACAATTCTGTCATATCTTATTTTTGTTAATTAATTAATCTATTTATATTTCATGCTTCTTTTTTAATATCCAAAGTTTCCCCAGTGCCCAGATATAGTGCTGTCTTCCCCGTCTTAAGTCAGCAGGTGACTAGCCCAGCACAAAATTGGCCAAGTCCCCTTGCCATTCCCCATCCTACCCCTGTTGCCCCTCTATTAAATCACTACAGTCACTGGACCCCACTCCAAAGGAATAGGGGCTAAAGGCTAATTTCCCATGAGTTGAAGATCCCCTTGAGCAGTGATTGCATGAAGGGGAAAATACTATATCGGCATGGATTCAAGGAAAGGCCCCTTCAGTCTGTCTTAAGCAAAAACTCTGAACAAGATGCAGGAACTATATAGCGCAGAGGTCCCTTGAACCATTCGGAACCGAGCTGTGGAAATGGCAGGCGAGTGTGCGCGCATCCCCACTTGTGTAAGTGAGCATGTGTGTGCATGCTCCATTTGCGTGTGTGGTATCCATGTGTGCATGCCATTCACGCAAATGGAGCTGTGTGTGCACGTCCCCGCACTCACGTGGAACCATCCCCACTCCCACCCCCGCCCAGCCGCAAAGCTGGAAAGATTGGGGAACTCTGATATAGAGATATAGCAGAAAATAAGTACTGGCCAAGGTTTGCTTGTACTGGAATTAAGTGCAAGTGGAGAAAAGCCCAGAATTATCAATGCAAGATATTTTTATTGGGGTGACTACTAGAATTACATAGAGATCACAATAATAATCCCACAACTCTGATAGTCAGTTCTAGCATGCTTGTTCTTCTTGGTTTGTTCCCTGGTGACTTCAGGTGCTGCAGGCCTCAAGGTCAGAACTTGAAGCTTTGGACGTTTGCTTGGATATCATCATTACTTGGGCTCCATCATCCCTTGCAGAATTAGTCAGGGATGTAGCTCTCTTGTTATCAATTATACCTCCCTATTTCAACCTGCACACACACACACACACACACACACACCATGCCTTTAACTGGAGAGCCAGGCTATTTATTAACCATGTTTATCTCTTTCAGGAAGAGAAGAGAAGAGAAGAGAAGAGAAGAGAAGAGAAGAGAAGAGAAGAGAAGAGAAGAGAAGAGAATTTTTTTATTGGCCAAGTGTGATTGGACACACAAGGAATTTGTCTTGGTGCATATGCTCTCATAAAAGAAAAGATACATTCATCAAAAGTCAAGAGTCATAAGGTACAACATTTAATAATAGTCATAGAGCTGTGTTCACAAATAACTGAACAAACATATATCAAGGTAGGCTTGAGATTTCAAAATGGATGGATTGGACTAGCTCACCCCATGCTTCCCTCTGCCCAAAATATCCATCTGCCATTTGTAAGTCAGGCCATCTGACAGATGGCAAGATATGCCGAAATGTGATCTTTAAATACTGTATAATTTGTTCCCTTAACACAAGAGATTATTATATCTCTTTCTTGCTAGATATATGATCTATTGCAATCAACAATGAATTATGTAGATTTATTTCACTGAATATACACATTCTTTTTCAGATGGTATATTCTCCAGAGTTTGCCTAGCAAACCAACCAACCAACCATGTGATTACTCAAAGAAATTGATTCCAT